CTGCTTTCCCTCGCCAGTTGACCGAATCGACTATTTGTTATGCGAGATTGACAGCCTATGATTCGGTTGAGTTCGTCAAAGGTTGCTCCTCTGTTCCTTTTCTCGATTCGATTGGCCTCGGTCTCCCGGGATGTCTGCATTTCGGCCGGCAAACATCTGACAATCGATTCCAGCGTGTGAAGTGCATCCAAGTCCGACCGATATTCGAGGTAGTTTAGAGAGATGCTGCAGTTCTACATCTTGATGACCAGGTTTGATAGAGACCTAGTATCGTCTCGTGTACGCCTTGCTTCTGCTAGAACCCCGTCAATCATGTTTCGGGCCACTCGGAATGGTTGACCAAACATTCCGTTCCGTATATTTCTGGCTCTCGGGTAGCCCACTTCCGGGTCCAGCATTGCACACCCTTGTGTGGCCTCCTTAGCCTTCTCCGACAGTAGTGTAGCGAAAATAGAAACCTTTGCCCTGCATCGTCCGTTTTGTATTCAACGAAAGTTTCGTATTGGCGAACGAATTGTCAATAGTATTTGGGGTTGCCGTCGAAAGGTGCAGTTGTAATCGTGGCAAATCGACGTTTACATGGGCATACGTTCGTTTCTTCGGGACAGATACTTTATTTGGAGAGAAGCCACTGTGTGCAGTCACAGCTCGAGGTGATGTTGTACCGTTGAAATCGGTGTTTTCGCGTTTGGCCTGTTCTATCTGCTGTCAAGCTTATCTCAACTCATGCACTTATTCAGACACCCGCAACCTAAATCCTTCAATACTCGTAATATCCGAATCTACTTCGGAGCAGCACTGACAGGATTAACAGACCTAACATTTCCCAAAAAATCAAAATTACCACACCCGTTAGTTAGTCCTGTTATACTATCGGTTGGTCACTTTTAGCTCCCAGTTTTATTCGCCCCTAGAAGTCTCTGTTGATATATGACCAATGATTAAAGAATCGCGAGTAGCGATCTCCAACTCTCCAACAGGTCTTTACCCGCCCGCAACAGAGACAATGAGAGTAAATGTGGTAACACAAATTGCCATTCAGGTGCAGTGAAGGAATGTATATAATGCAACAAATGCTGGGTTTGGTATCACATCGAATGCGGTGGGCTATCCGAAGTTAGCTCTGGAGTTTATGAAACGTTTAAGAGCCTAAATTGGGTTTGCGTCGTATGTAGGACACGCATGGAGAACTTAGTCCAACCAAAACAGAACGTTGAAGGTGAATGTGACGAAACGGGCAGCCAAAAGGCCATCAAGGAGATACAGGCGATTAAAGAAGTCTCCCGTACTCCTATCAGAAGTCCCATTTTAAACCTTAAGAGAGGATATTAAGGGTGGTTCGTCATCCAAGCCCTTAAATAACAAGGCATTAATCCCTGAATCTGCTCTAACAGCTGGGACTGCTGTTGAACCAGTGGAGGAGAAGAAGGGAAAAAACCCTAAGAACCCACTAGATGCGTCTAAAACTGAGACCGCAGGCCAGGCGCATACTCAGGACATAGGGAACCAATCCCCAAAAGTAGTGGTCTCCGAACTAGTGGTTCGCCTCGTTGCAGTAGAGCAGGGAAACAGGAGGTTAGAGTTTGAGCTAACCCAACTCAAGAAGTCAGGTGACATAGCACTTGACAGGAATGGAAATGTGGTATCCCGGAGCCCACAAAGAAAGTAGGAAGACAAAGGGACCGGACAATGAGGAACCACATTGTCAAATGGCTAAGAATGGTGGAACTCCAAGGAAACAGTCATTGAGAAATTCCTGCATCTGGGACACTGGACAGGGATGGGCACGGAAAAGGGCAAGCCCCCCCAGGCCTGTCCTTGTCGATGTCACGAACCCTAGACATCGTGACTGGCTTTCACAATCCTCTGGAAAGATAAGTCTTAGCCCAATAATCCAGTTGAACATCCGGCTAGACGACACGGCCCAGGGAAATGCCCACGTACGCTCAAGCCCACAACGCGAATGGGTCAGCTTCAAGTTCAGGTTCAGCGACTGATGTCTACTTTGCAACAGAGTCCCAAAAAGACACTGAGGAATCAGATAGGGTAGTGTAGCATCACCTGTGGGAGACCCAGCTTGATCACCCCACCAAGCAGCCTAACCTGAGGCCTATTTTAGGGGGGAAATAGGGAAAGCAACAACAGGATAACAAAAGACGGATAGGATGCTCAGGCCTAAGGCCTGAGCGACCGACCACTCCCACAAGGTGCTTGGGAACACGGAAGGAGTCGGAACTAGGGGTGTTGTACACAAATGTCACATGTATCGTAACCAATTGCCCGAACTACGAGCACGGGCAAGCGAAGAAGATGTGGTAGTGGTCACAGAATCATAGCTGCGACCTGGCGACGAAATCAGTAACATGAGCTATCTTAACTATATCCCCAGCAGAGCGGATCGCCAGAATGGACGGTAAGAAGGGGGGTGCTTGTGCTCGTAGCCGCTCACCACAGACATCATGAATGGCGTCACCACAATACCCCGAATGTACAAGCAGTGGAGGAAATTGTGCAAACTGCACAACAACGGCTATCAGTCATCGGTGTCTACAGGAGTCTAACGGCCACGATGGAGGAAAATCAGCTACTGCCAGAGCTGGTAACTGAACAGGATCTAGTGACAGGGTATTATTATTAGGAAACTTCAATGCTCAGGGAATCGATTGGACTACAGAAAGGGCACGCTGAGGACGTTCGGGAAAAGGCCACTTGAATCGCTGCATCGTAGGGCTTTGACCCAACGTGTGACCGGCGAGACCAGATGGAGGTTCAGGCAAACAGCTTCTACTCTAGACCTAGTGTGCACAAAGTTCCCAAACGA